GTAACTTATAGTTTGTATTAAACCCAAACTTAATGTAACGGGGTACGTAGCCCTAAGTGTACCCTGGCTACATGAAGTGTGACACTCCACACTTCAGGAGTATGACACGTCATACTCCGGAATATTTGGTACAAGGTACCAAGGTCGTTCAAAGCCAACCATTGGTTACATGACATTGCATTTCTATAGGTAACTTATAGTTTGTATTAAACCCAAACTTAGCCTACCTATAAATATACTCAGCTTACAATCTACCTTATTTAGGTCACTTCCCTCTCTTTAATTAACCCTTCTACTACGACATTACGGATAATCCGGAATCTAATTTATAGAGGTGAAATTGTTCCGAGATGTCCGCAACAACATTCGAGGAGCGACAATTCGGCATATTGAATTTTGTATGCGATAAATTTAAACGGGTTAAGTGTAAGCTGCACACCACATGCGACACGGGATTGTCAGGAAGCGGTTAGGTTTACAGATATAAGGAGTCAAGAGACTCTTCCAGCCCTCCATTTGGAAATCAGCGCCGGAGAAGAGACCATCACTCCTAAAGATGTTCACCTTCGAGAAATCGTTCAACCAGATATGGCGCGAATTGAAGAAGAAAGGCTGGCTGTATCGAAAATCCTCTGGCCTCAGCAACGCCCCCCGCTACCTCCCCCCCCCCGGTGGCAACCTCGCGGGATCGGAAGGCGTGGACTACTTTGAAGGTAAGACTACCGATGCGAATGTGCTGTATCGGCAACTAACCGTGTACGCTTGTCAGGCGAGATGAGTCTGCTTCGCTACTGCCGCCGTAAAGGATGGCTTGCCTTCGAGCCAGCTCCACCTGCTTCGACGCCGACCATCGCCGAGCCCGAGCAACCCAAAAATGCTCCTGGTCCGTCCGAGACTACGTCAGCACTGTCTGAAGAGAATCCCGCGCGGTCAGAAGGAGATTCCGAAGCGGTGCCTGCGCCGTCCGAGCCTGGATTAGCTGCACCCGTTGCCGCACAGAAGGAAGCTGCTGCGAAGAACACTGCGATTGCTTTGCCGAGGGCTGCTGCCAAAGCCACTGCCCCAGCGAGAGCGTCGACTATCTCAAGCGTACCACCTGCACCTGGCAAGGCCAGAGGTTCTAGCAGACCACGACCCGCAAGCAAGGCAACTAGTTCGGCACACGACATTGAAACGGATCCGCAACCTCGACCGAAAGGCAAGCGCAAGGCATCGAGTACAAGAGCGTCTACGAAACGACCCCGTACTGGTACGTTTGAGTTTCTGATGCTGACTGTTGCGAAATATATACTAAATTTCTTGTTACGGATTGTGCAGTTCCTGGTGTTCAGGAAACGACCTCACGTACCACGAATAATACCCCGCAACCTGTTCCGGATACCCCTGTCGAGGTTGAGGAAACTCCTGAATCGTCTATTACGGCGGTACCCACTCCGGCAGCAGTTTTAAGCACGGAAGAATCTGGAATTTCTCTAGTTCGGATAACTTCTTGGATGCACTGCCACGAGACCGGCTGTTTAGGCCAACTGATGCTGATGATATAAACATTGGAGGTGGCGACTGGTTGCTCCCTCTAGATTCCGAAGCGGAAGGTGACGAAGAGTCCATTCTGGCGGACGAAAACGATGAAATGGACGAGGCAGTTGCTGTTGCTGTTGATGACCAAGTTGATGACGACGTGGCAACTGAGCGTGACGAAGTGCCAGTTGAGTTTGACGTGACTGGCCCAGAGCTTGACAGACTTCAAGCAGAGAGGTGGGAGGTGTTCGATGAACGCCACGCGGGCCAAGTGCAACACGATGCATTGCCCCTCTACGACGGCCCATCTGGTCCAACCCGAGCTGCGCTGGCATACGCGGAGAACCCTATCGCGATATTTTACTTCTTCCTGCCGAAGGAGCTGTGGCGAAAGATTGCAGCCGAGACGAACAAGTACCGTACGGACAGCATCGACAGTACTTCGCAGCAAATGCGTGCACGGGCACGTCAGCGGCGCGAACGCGTCCCCTCAACAATAGTGCTGACCATTGATGCGTACAAGGCAAAACTAGCGCGCAAGCCATCCATCCAGCCCCACGAGATCATTCGGTTCATCGGTTTGCTTATCGCACGAGCACTAGAGCCACGCCGAGAGAGTCTAAGTCGGCACTGGGTCACGAAGGTCGAGGTTGCACTCGCGCGCGGCACGTTTGGCCAGTTCTTGAGTCGGGACCGGTTCCAAGACATTGCGCGGTATCTCCACTTCAACGACAGCGAACGACAGTCCGACAGTGGGGATCGGGCCTTCAAAATTCGGCCCGTGGCTCAAGCGTTGCAGAAGACGTTCTTCAGAGGATACCGAATGGGTGCACGGATTTCGTTCGACGAAGGGATGGTGCCGATGCGTCATCGCCGCAACCCAATGCGCCAGTACATGCCGGCAAAGCCAAACAAGTGGGGCACCAAATTTTACCTGACGTGCTGTGCAGACACCGCCTACTGCTCCAGGTACGAAGTACGATTGTTACGGATATCTGTCTAACAAGACGGATATCCGTAGTAATTATAGTCTGTCTGGTCCGTAATGTATTCTGTATTAGCCGTAATATCTCGCTAACCGAACTGTGTTGTAATGTGTAGATTGGATATCTATTGCGGCAAGGCAAATCAAGACGAAGAGGCTGTCGCGCAGCAATCTGTGGTCAAGAATATTACCAAAGTCCTTCGTGGGCAGCCGTCACAACGCCTCATTTGCACTGACAACTTCTACACGTCAATCCCGCTATCGGACAAACTGCTGAGCATGGGCCATCGCCAAGTGGGAACTATCAGGAAAGATCGCAAGGGCTGGTGTGCGGCCATTGAGTTCAAGCAAAAGAGACGACCGAAGCGTATGCCGCGCGGAACGTGCAAGATGGCTGTGTGGAAGAGGCGCCGTGACTTCGTTGCGCTTACGTGGATGGATAATAAGCCTGTTAGATTTCTGGCGACGGGGTGCTCAACACATACCACTCAAGTCTCCCGTAGAGAGCGCGATGGCTCCATTTCTGCCGTGCCATGCCCCCAGCTTGTGCGAGACTATCACGAGGTGATGGGGGGAGTAGACGTTCACGACCAGCTACGCCTGCAGCGATACTCCATCCAACGCTTGATTCGCATGCGTAAGTACTACAAGACGATATTTCTCGGTCTCGTTGATATTGCAATGGTGAACGCGTTCATCGTCCACAAGATTGCGATGCGCAGCCGCGGGAAACCGGTGCCGACCCATGCGGCATTCATGCGGCGACTGCATACCGATCTGCTGAATCAAGCAAGTGAGGATTTTGCTGCTGGTGACGACTTAGCAGATCTAGTTACAGAGCCTCTCCCATGTCAACCTCACACACTCGAGAAGACCGAGAAAATGAACGGCGTGAAGCGTCGTCAGTGGTTGTGCAAGGTGTGCTCAGCGTACGCTGGGCCCGGCGTACGGAGCTACGAGACCAGCTACTTCTGTGCTTCGTGCTCAACGGTCAAGAAGGGGAGAGTCACCTTGTGTAACAAGGCGCGCAGATTGGAGCACGGCAGCGCTCTAACATGCAATGAGGTGTGGCACCAGAGCTGGAAGAACGGCATGACCATTCTTCCAGAGATGCAGCACAAGATCAGGTTTGTTAGGAAGCGTAGGCCCGAAGTTGAGAGCGAGGTCGACGAGGAGTAAGTGAATGAGCAGTTGTGTGAGTGCTGGCTTTCTAGTGTTGTCTCGTTGTTGCTGTACGGTGTAGCGGTTTTGCAGGGAGATCGCAATTGAAAGTTTTATGGACAGGTTCTGTTCTGCACATCATTCACAATTAGCCAATCACATGCCACAATCTGGACACGTGTCACGCGAAACGGCTCACAACTTGGTAAATTGTACTGATTTTCGGGCATACGTTAACTCATATATTAGGAATTACGGATACTCCGGAATAATCTTCGGATTAGAGGGGTTAAAGAGGGGACCTGTGAACTGCCGTTCACTGAGAGTTTGTATACTCTCGGAAGATAACTTCCTCTAGCGCAAGGTGCTGTGTGACCCCGTCACACTTAACCTACCTATAAATATACTCAGTTTACAATCTACCTTATTTAGGTCACTTCGCTCTCTTTAGGGGACCTGTGAACTGCCGTTCACTGAGAGTTTGTATACTCTCGGAAGATAACTTCCTCTAGCGCAAGGTGCTGTGTGACCCCGTCACAACCACCACGTTGTAGCTAATTCCGCCTGGCGTTACTCTCTTTAGGGCAATGGCACACATTGATGTCCTTCATTCTCGCTCTGTACGCGCCCAACTTGCGCCTCTGATCAAGGTTTGGTAAAAAGAAGCGATGCGTAATTACCAGTGATTGTGACTGTGAATTTTTAACTTAAAGGTTCTTCAAAAGCAAGAAGAAAAATCCAACTATATTTTTGGCGAATTATACAAGATCGTGCGGGAAATAGAGTATATATGCATACCATTTAAAGTTATCGACCTTTCAAATCACGTGGGTTTGGTGCAATTATGCATGTTTTGTGGTATTGTCAAAAATTAGCATACAAAAGAATTATACTAAATTAGCGGCAACAGGGTAAGGATGTGCTGGCTTTGGAGTCGTGTTGAACTCATTTAACGGTACAATGATGAGATACTTGACTTAGGAGGAAGTTGGCGTGTTGCTTGGTACTTCATAGTTTAATAATAATATTCACGGTAAGTGCTTTCCTCGCCGTTATTTTATGGTGTTCAGTATTGAAAGTCGCAAAAGTACATGCACATTGTAATTAGTCGTAAAAGTTGCGCTGGTTCTCGCATCTGCTACAAGAAATGACTTGAAGTTGTACACTTTGGACAAGATTCGAGAGCGTTGGTTGCGCGAATCTGCCTTTTTAATGTGGGCGGGATGCTGCAACACCCTGAAGCTGCCGTGAAAGACTTGCGCAAGCCGTACCTAGTTTCCATTTACGAAGACGACAACAACACAAGACATCGCTCCGACTTCAATCCTCTGTTGTGATGGAGGGCAAGTTGCTAGCGCTGAGTGGACTGATGGACGAGCCTCATTTTCGCCGACTCATCAAATTCCAAGCACGCCGCCGACAATGCCTCGGTGGCAGCGACGTGGAGATCCTCACCGAGACAGTGCACGTCCTTATGTGCGACGACCCGCAAGTGTCGTTCACTGCCTACCGCATGCGCATCCGCAGTGCTGAAGACGTGCTGCACCACACTACATTCTCGCGAGACCGGGACTCCGATGAAGGTGGGCGCTGGGTGCTCGAAAAGCGCTATTCGGAGTTTGATAAGTTCCGCAAGCAGTTCCTTAAGCACATTGAGCACTGGGAGAACGTGGTCAACGTCGATTTGTCGCACCGAAAAGCAAAGGAAATCGTAACGGGACACGGAGACGTACGCACCACCTTCGCTGTCGTCTCAAACGCCCTGCGCCGCGCCATATCGCCTCATTTTCCCAAGAAACATATTTGCGTGGATACCCCCAAAATCATTGCTGAGCGGGTCGAGGGCCTGACTGAGTTCGTGCGGAAGATCGCGAGCGTGTACATCGACTTGGGGCTCTACCTCAGCAACAACCAGCTGCATTCTAACACTTTTGCCTCATCTTTCGCGCTGCTCCATCACATGCAAGTGGAAATCGAAGAGTTTTTGCGAGTGCCGCAACCTCAGAAGGATGCAGAGATACGCCGACAGTCGGCTGTGCTGGCACTGGAAAATCTCGACGCGCTGCCGGACTCGAGCGAGGACGACAATTCTTCTGAGCCAGTATGTTGCATCTGCCTGAACGAGGAGGACCCCGTCGACACCGAAAAAGTGACACTCGTGCAACTTCCGTGTCGCCATCACTTTCACGAGGACTGCGTCATCGACTGGTTCAGTGCTAGCACTACATGCCCACTTTGCCGTCGCACCACTGCCGCAGCACGTACATGTACTGGTACCAATCTGCTGCCAAACTTTGTGTAGCCTACTGTAGGCCTACGGAAAATGCAAATGAAGTACATGTAATACGTTGGCTGCAGAGTCGTCTTTACCGGCTTATAAGAACCTCACTGTGAACCGCCAAAATATCCAGGTGTGGCATCGTCCGCGATTTGCTAGCCGTCAACATTGCTTTGATCACGGAGCTCTCACATCGCCAACACCATTCCTCGTTACTCGCCGTCAGCAACACTTAAGCACAGCCAGTACTAACAGCGAAGAACGCCATGGCCGTGTCCGTTATCGACGATAAACTACTGGCTACGAGCGGTCTCATGAACGAACCCCGCTTTCGTCGGTTGATCAAATTTCAGACGCGTCGGAGGGAGGCCTTGGTCGGCAGCGAGCTGGAGATCCGCACTACGACCCGCTACGCCCTCGTGTCTGAAGACAAGCCCAACGTTGGATTTACCATTTATTATATGCACATCCATCGAGCGTCAGATACTCGTGGTGATGAAGACCAGTGGGTGTTGAAGAAGCGCTACTCGGAACTGGAGGCTTTCCGACGTCTTCTTTTCAAGCGCATCGAAGACTGGGAATACACAGTCCGCAGGGAATTCAGTCGCAAGACATCCGTCGATAAACTTACGACGTTTGCTGTCATGTCGAACGCAATGCGACGCGCCATTTCTCCTTCATTCCCGAGGAAGCGCATGCGACCTGCCAAGCCTGCGGTTATCAAGGAGCGAACCATGAGGCTCCCAAACTTTGTGCGAAAGCTGCTCGGCGTTTACACAGATCTGTCAGTGTACAAGACTAATAGTTCACTGCAGGCCGGCGGCTTTGCTTCATCTTGGGCTCAGCTGTGCACAATTTTCTCTGAGCTTGAGTCGTTTCTCGAAATTCCACAGCCTCAGAAAGACGCGGAGGTCCAGCGGCAGTCTGCTGTATTGGCGTTAAGAGACTTCAACGACAGCACAAGCACTATGGACGAAGATGCCCATGATCAGTCATGCTCCATCTGCCTTAACGAGGACCCAGTTACAGACGAAACGAGGCCAGCGGTCGCTTTGCCCTGTGGACACCACTTCCACGAAGACTGTGTGATCGATTGGTTCAGCACAAGCATCACATGCCCGCTTTGTCGCCGCAGATCTCATATATGATTAACCACACACAGAGAATCCTGTTGAACTTAGGATAATGGAGCTGCAGCTAATGCTGTTGCACAATTCGAAGTAGCATGTGAACACTTCAACCTTGAATACACACAACGCAGATTCAGCTCACAGTGATCGCAATATTGTTACCCATATCGGTTCAAGTATTTTACCTCGAAGTAGGTTCATTTAGAATGCTTCACAAACTTAAACGGCGGACTTCTTCTATCCCAGTGACCTAAGAAAAAGAAACAAAGTGAAGGTAGGCGGGAAAAACTTAAGCTCGTGTATAAAAAAGGGAAAAATGGTGTACCCAAATGCATTTTGCATTTTAAACATCGAGTTGGATTTTGTTACGAGCTGTCACAATCGTATTACAATACCTATCAGCACAGCTACACTTTTTGCACATCCGAGTTTCTATGACCTTTGAACCAATTTTTGTGTCACCACATTTCCTCGAGTCGAGCTCCCATCATTCATGGACTTCTCTCTACCAAAGCGATGAAATTATCCAGTTTACATTGCGGTAATTTTCGAAGGCTTCACTTCAGAATCGCAATTTGCCGATCTGCAAAACCCGACGAGTTTTGGTTGTTGCAGTACAACGATGATACTGCAAGTTCAACGGCAGTGTCCACAACATGGGTGAAAGTTGCGGCGGTAGCTCTGCTGCACCGACAGCCACAACTTGAGGCTCAAGCATCATTGCTCCGAGCAATTTGCTCGGTTGTAATTTGCTCAGCAAATTTTACTGGAGCAGGCATATCAATAGCTTAGTGTGGCTCGTTGATGATTGCTCCACACAGGCGCGGGCATAGCATCAGCGAATTGCCGAGCAATGGATGATAACGGTGCTGTTCCAGTATGGGGTAAACACAAGAGACTCTTGGAGTCAGCATCGAAAACATCTGCAGCTTCGATGTCGCCGTTGAACGGCTCCGAACCGTTGGCAGGCTTGACTTAAGAATGAATGGATATTTTCCTCCGCCGCCATTGCCCGCTAAGCAGGACAAGGCCTCAGTAGAGGCTGATGCGGTCACATGCGCCCTGAGCCCCATGCTGCATTTCCAGAGCTCAGGCTTAGGAAATACCAGATAGCTAGTCGTCGTTAAGACCACATAGAATGTCTGCCTCTCTCTCGCATTTCCAGTCTGGAAATTCCAGAGCTAGAGTGTTGTGCGGCCCATCATTGAACTTACCGCCTGATGTCGAGAGGCGGGAGGGGCGCGACGAACTGCAAGCAGTCGTGCAAGCAGTCGTGGTAAGCAGTCGTGGTTCTGCCGAATTGTTGTTCAATTTATTCAGTTGGTCGATGCCATCGGCTCGATGGAGTCGCTGCACTTCATCGCTTTGCTTACAGCTAGCAGCTTTATTTCTAGTACATGCATTTCGCTAGCAGCTTGGTCGTACATGTACACCTCGACTTTAACACATGCTGACTGGCGTTTAACAAATCCGAGCAGACCAAAAGAAGAAAACGCATCCGACGAAGGTACCTATTCGTGATGAAGTGTCTGAGCGTGACATTGGATGCATCGTACATGTACAACAATAGAAAGCTATGCTGGTACATGAAGTCCATGTACCGCACCACTGCCAAGTTGGCAACGCCAACGGCTCAACAGCCTGTACCAGACGTACTACAGTAGCATGTACTTCAGAGTCTGCATGCAATCTTAAACATCTACTGCAGCAACCTGTCTGTCCGTCACACTAAATTGTCGTGCCTGTCACGCTTTTCCGGACAAATCATTGGATAAAATGATTTAAATATTTCTAAGCGCAGCGAAGGTGGCTTTAATTGGTTAAAACTAGATTGTGTTGTTGCATCAATAAATTCATGTGTTTCCCAGTTTACATATGGGGATTTGCACAAGGCTGTACATTATCCAAAGGCATCGTTTAAATATTATATACTTTTTTATAATGCATGTTGCTATTGATATTTGAGTACTAAACGGAGGGCAGGGTGCCTATCGTACACGTAAGCATGCGTGTTTCCGAGGACATGGTTTAAGTATACTAAACTCTCTGTACTCAGTAGGATCTGCGTGTTACACTGACTAAAATGATAATTTCAATTTTTTTACTGTAAAAATATTAGCATTAATAAGTTATCTGAGTGGGTTTCTGGTATTGCTAAATCGTATATGTTACATGTACAGCAGTAGCCGGTCGTGTGGACTGGTCGTAAGAACAAAGCTGTGCTTATAAACGTTGTCACTTGATTCACGAAGATAGAAAGTTTTAGATTGACGTGTGAACAAAAAGAAGTTATATGTGCTGATGACAATTACTACTGTAAGCGAATTGAACTTGACCATTGTTTCCTTAGCGTTTTTTTAGACAACAAAATTCTGATACTTCTTAATAGGTAGACGCGTTGCCGACAAGGGCGTAGAATAAGGTTTTATATGCAGTGGTAAGATAACAGCACAACATGAGAGGTGTCAATTTTGGTTATTATAAGTAGGCCCGTAAAGAAACGTTAATCAACTTAGAGCCTAATCTACGTTTAACCCTGGAATCATCGTTTAAGTATCAAATAAAAATACCGCCGTCAACAAAAGGCGTCGTGCGACGCATCGTTATATCCAAAGGCTACAGTATAACCATAACAGGCACAGATTGGAGTGTCTAATGACTAATTCTGAATCAGCACAAAATGAACACACTTCAAGGCATAAAAAAATGCTACAGCTTGAATATTTTTATTAAATATTCAAACTGTAACACTTTTAATTTTCTTTCAAAGTAGCGAGTTTGGTATGCGAAGTGGTTAATAGTCAGTTTATTACAAGCTTAACCAGGCAGTACAAGCGGGTATTTGATGCAAGCTGGACAGATATTCTTTGCATTGTTGCAATCTAGGTTTCAGAAACGGCCCGTGAAATCGATCACGACGCTAAACTAAATATATTATTTAGCGGTTTTAGACTGAAGTGCAGGTGCTTCTGGGTGGAAGATTAAGGTACAGTGATAGCCAACAACAATAACGAGACTTTGCCAAGATCACTAGCGTAATCGTTTATGAGCATGGTAAGTATGATGTTAGGGGCTCAGTCTTTTGTACCGGTAGAAATATTTACACGGCTTACTGGGAACTCAGCATTTTGTAGCAAATGAAACGCAGATTTATGAAATTAAAGAAGTCGATTTACGTACATATGGGACTCAGAGGATTTGGACTAATTATCCCGCCAAAGCGAAGCGAAGGCGGGAAGGCAAAAATCTGGAGTAAAACCGAAATTACCGCCGCGTAGCGGCGGCGCTCGGCTAGTTGTATGACAACTCCAGTTTTGTCTTTGTTCTTCAGTTTTGCTGAGCTGCGAGAAAGGGCGCTGTGTTGAACCTAGCCGAACTTCAGATTGAAGTGATCAATTCACTTAAATGAGTAGATTGGGAGCGCTATTGCAAACGAACATAATCTAAGAAATTTTGCAAGTAAATTTTTAAAAGTAAATCGTCCAACCCACATCTACTCAATAGTTATTGACGATGCCTGGATATTTAAACCCACGGTATCAATTATTGAGGCTCCACAAACTGTATTTGAATTTGAAGATCCACTGGGCGAGATAGCTTCACTAATGCTGGACCTGCAAACATATTCGTTACTGCTAAGTAGGCCCTTACCGCAATGTACTTATATAACTTAACAAGTCGATTGAAGTTGAGTGAGAACAAACGAGCATCGCCGCCCTTGAAGTTGAGACCGCCTCGTCTGTACTCGTCGTCTGTGCGTCCCGGCGTTTTCATTTTCGATTCAGCGGTGCGGAGCTCGGTCCGCCACAGCTCCCAATTTACAAAAGCAGCACCATGCTCTCGTCCTCTGCTGTGCGGCCACTCGCGCGCGCCAGCCAGACTACGGTGGAGCTTCCCAAATTAAGGATCTCAATGGAGGCGGGTCGTCAACAGCAAGACACCAGTCTCGGCTACGACAATACTTGTACGCGTTCCGGTGGGTACCACGCCGCAACGCCAGGTCCAGTAAAGACCGAGGCCCCGAGCGGGGCCATCGTGTTGTCCCCACACGGTCCAAATACACGTTCGCCGTCCTCACCGTCCTCGTTCTTCACTCAATCTGAGATCGCCAAGGTATGTTCAATTGCTTTGCTAGTCATGCACTTCCCAAAAACCATCTTGGGTGGATATCATGCGCCGTCTCGTCCGTCAATTCAATGACGGTTGTTTCCCGTTGCATCTCTTCTCTAGAAATCTCACATAGTGACTCCTTGTTGTGATCGTTAACAGCTCGGCTTGACGCCCCTACTCGAAGCCGCTGAGCAAGTACGCTCGTCGACCACTGAGACTTCACCGACGCTCTACGGCCGCTCCAGCCCGCTCAAGCGCGAGCTCCCGCTGCAGCAGGCACTGCCATCTATCATGGACGCCATGGGTGGTTACCCGCTCGAGACCTCGTTAATGCCCAAGCGCGCTCGCATCGGTTCGGATGTCGGCCTCGACATGCAGACTTCGTACAGTCTGCTTGGCCATATGCCGCGCCAAGCCATGATCTACACATCGTCCACCCCTCACCAACAGCAGCAGCCAATCTACCATCAACAGCACGTCGCTTCGTACGTACCGACTTCAGAAACGCTGAGCCACGGCAACGCTGGATCAAGCTCTTCAGCACCGCCCACGTACTCGGGTGCTTCGGTCTGGGAGTCCGTACTCACCACCGGCAAGTTTCCGATGGACATTTGCCTCAGCGAGAACGGTAGTGCGTCTCCAACAGCTCCCTTAACCTCCAATCATATCCGTTCTAAAAGTGAAGACGCCGCTGACACAACTGGAGCGGATGCCTCTGGAGAGCTAAAACAAGGTCGATGGTCGGATGACGAAAAGGAATACGCAAACGCTCTCATCCAAGCTGTGCAGAGAGGAGACGTATCGCTGCCGCCAAACGTCTCCCTGCGAAAATTCGTTGCCGACAACTTGCAGTGCAAGGCAATGCGTGTCAGTAAGAAGTTTCGCAGTCTGGGTGCAAGTCCTCACGGTTCACCTAACCAAGAAGACGAACCGGCAACCCCGCGGTGCGAGTCATTCAACCCACTCAGTCTAAAGTCGATCATGAACAACGAGTCAAGCTCGCCGTCCTCCGATGTACTTGAAGTGGCGGAGACTATTCCCAACTCGAACCTAATCCGCCAGAGCCCCACCAGCAATAGTACCGGCGCAAAGAAGAAACCGGCCCAGCGAGTGCTGAAGCGGTCAGACTATTCCCAATACGGAATGGTGCGCAGCGGGCGGTGGTCGGTAGAGGAGGAGAACTACGCCAAGGCGATGATTGAGGCGTTTAAGGCGGGCTATCTGCCACTGCATGGCAATGTGTCCCTGCGCAAGTTCCTGTCCGAGGTCCTCGTGTGCCACCCGATGCGCATCAGCAAAAAGTTTGTCGGTTACGTTCGCAAATATCACTGGTACCGCATCGCTGCTGGCAAATGCGATCCGGAAGCCAAGCGCCAGGCACTGTACCAGCTGAGCCACCTGGAACGCGTCTTCTGGTCGTCGCTGCAGCAGAACAGCGAGTGGTCTACCGGACTCCGTCGCGACGACTAAAGAGACGACTAAGTAGCAGCCAAACCTCGCCAAGTGTGGCGGGCGTATTTAACGAGCGAGACCGATTGAAGGCAGCGTGAAAAGGCGCCCATGTAAGGTAGTTAAGTTAGTGGTAGCGTCGACAACGACAGTCAGTGTATGCGTGCATTTGCCCATGTCTGTCAATTTGAATTGTTTTTTCTTACAGCTATAAACGGTGTACGTCGGTACTGTCATCTACTGTTCTGTGTTGTGTATTAATACTACCGGTAGCACATTCGTTTTTATTACTTGTTTTTGTAAGTATTTTAATAATGGTCGCAACGACCAAATGGTCACTAAGGGCTGGTATCCAAGTCTTGGATACCAGCCCATCTCTAAAGTGCGGTATCCCACGCGTTAAAACAACATCATTTGGCGAAAGAAACATACAGTATGCCATATTATGGCCGTGTTCACAGTCAATATTTAGATTTTAGCTAAACAGCATGCATGTTGTAACGGGGTACGTAGCCCTAAGTGTACCCTGGTTACATGAAGTGTGACACTTCACACTTCAGGAGTATGACACGTCATACTCCGAGATATTTGGTACAAGGTACCAAGGTCGTCCATTGGTTAAATGACATTGCATTTCTATAGGTAACTAACAGTTTGTATTAAACCCAAACTTAATCTACCTATAAATATACTCAGTTTACAATCTACCTTATTTGGGTCACTTCGCTCTCTTTAATAAAAGAGGGGACCTGTGAACTGCCGTTCACTGAGAGTTTGTATACTCTCGGAAGATAACTTCCTCTTGCGCAAGGTGCTGTGTGACCCCGTCACTCTTGGTAGCACTTGTAGTCAATCCACGCCATCGCGGGTAGACTACCTAAACCTCCGAAGTTCGTTGCCATGGATAGGAACGACTTCTCCCAATTGAACGACTCTCAGTTCGAGTCGGTTCGGAAGATGGCAGGCATCTTCGGGATGGAGGCCCTGCAGAGCCTGGTGGTGTCAACACCGGCTGAGCAGCTCGAGCGCGTCAATGCATTCGACGCGTACGAGCCGGGCCTCATCGCGCATGTGCGGGAGAACCTGCAAGCTCCGGCGGCGGAAGCAAATCTGCCTTACCCGTAGCCAATACGGCTGAAGGTTAAGCCGTATGAAGGGAAGGAAGGCGAGAACCTTCACATCTGGGTCCGAGAAGTAGAGCTCGCGATGAACGCGGCTCTGATCTCGGCCGAGCAACTGCGTGTTGCTTTTGCACTCTCCAACCTTAGCGGCCGTGCTAAGAGTTGGGTGTACACACGGGAAGCAACATCCCCTGGATGTTTTACATCCTGGGCTCAGCTGTGCGAACAGCTCCTAGCCGCGTTCCTCCCGGCGAACTACGAGTACCGCCAGCGTTCGCGCTTCCTCGCGTGTAAACAAGGAAGGCGCGAACTGCACAAGTATGTGCAAGAGATACGGGAGCTCACGGCGTCCCTAGTGGGAAACCCACTCAACAACACATCACGATGACTGTGTTCATGGACGGCCTTCGAGTGGGCCCCGCACGCACTCAGCTGTTTCGGGTGTAGTCAAGCACTCTTGAAGAGGCAATTCAAGTGGCCCTTCAAGAAGCGTACAGCCATCGCCAGGCGCGTACGCCGGCCTCAGCATGGCCTGGATACTCCTTGTCGGCTCCCGGCCGAACAAGCCCCAACGGACCAGTTCCCGTGGAACCCGGGTCCGCCGAACAGCGTGACATCCGCTGCTTCGGCTGCGGGAAGATGGGCCACTTCAAGCGCGACTGTTCTGCGGAAAGACTCCGCAGACGGTCCTTCCCCAAGCCCGTATTCAAGGGTCGCCGGCAGAAGCCAGGATCCCGGGGACAGGGGAACGCTGGGAACCAGTAGGGGCGGGGCGCCCTACTGGGGAAGAACTAAGTCTTCGTGATGGGTGCGCGGGTGGCGCGTACCACGGGGACTTAGCCCCTGAGAGTCTTCGCACTCTCGAATCAGCGGCGGGTTGCTCGTAGTACACGGATGTGTACGGGGATACGATCATCTCTTTAGAATCTTGATCGATTCTGGGGCGTCGAAGAATTTCGCATGCCGCCAGACGGTTGCTCGTAATAGCAAAAAGTTGTCCGATACTTTGATAGAAAGCAAGGGCAACGGGACGGTGTCAGTGCAACTGGCCGACGGGAAGGTCGTCACTGTCCCCAACGTCCAAGTGGATCTGGCTGTCAAGTTTGAAGACTTTGACAGCCTCGAACAGTTCACTGTTCTCGATATGGATCCATATGATATGATCCTGGGCATGACCTGGCTTGAGAAGCACGAGCCCTGGATCGACTGGCGAGGCAAGGCAATCGGTGCCAGCCGCCCTGCGCAGTCCGACAGAGCATTGGTGAGTCATGTTCCCACCTCTGTCAGGACCCGGGGCGCCCGCGAGGGCTGCCAGGGTACCAAAGCATCCGGCAGATGCTTGGGAGTCGTCGACGTATATGACGACTCCACAGGGTGTTTTGATGGTGGCAGAGGCGCTGGCCAAG